GGATCTGTGAACTGCCGTTCACTTAGAGTTTGTGTACTCTTGGAAGTCAAGCTTCCTCCTAGCAAGGTGCCGTGTGACCCGTCACACAAAGCTACGGCAGCTTCGCTGCACCAAGGCTAATAAACTCTTCTGATAAAAATCTGAGGCAAAGCCGCCTTATTTTAAATGTATAGATATTCCTTACCAAATACATGTATAGCTACTGGCTATCCAGACCCGTACCGTATTTTTGTTTGAGTGTGGTCACACCATGCCCATCTGGTGTGACACACACCCCTGTTACCAGGGCATGTGTAACCCCGTTACATCTCTCATCAAATTGAGTTCTGTCGAGCTAGGAGATGCCGACCTCAATAGTTGCAGTGCCCACCAGTGATGGTGTTACTACGAAACGGTTATTCAGGTGAAGTAGCTCAGCAACATACCATTCCGTGGTCCCATTTGAACTGGGTTGTTCACCGACAGCAAGGTGTTCCGACGTACATGTAGTAAGAAACTGGAATTTCAATATGGTGACAAAAATATCTCATCGTTCAAGACCAACCAATATACATTCATAACGTCTATATATGGGTGCGATCAACAGAGCAGATAAGCTGTTTTACTTGTACGCAGTACAAATCTACTACTCGTCTCGTTGTGCTTGGCATCTTTTATGTCGCCATTAGTTCAATATTATATTTAAGAAGATACGCTCAGACCTCCAATACGCCCAAAAGAGAACAAGTAGATGGACTACCAGACCTTCGCGTCACATCCCCTGATGTCTGCGATTCCTGACATGCTTTCGCGGGTTCGCTTCCCCGATTCAACCGAACGATTACATTTTTCGTTCTGATGCGTAGGTTGTTGTTCTGTTTCATGCAACGAAGTATTTTTAGACTACTCAATTAGGCGACCACCTGACTGGACGTGCTATTCTCGGCCGGCTTACGGCAGGATACTAGACTACGACCTGATACGTTGTCATTATCCAGTACGACGCAATGTCATTCCAGATAACAACCATCCACTCGCTTTCCGATCCAGAACAGTTATCGGAGGTTAGAAATTTATTCTAAACTAGAATTAGCTCAAAATCACCAAAATGCAAAAGACTCCGGGATTTTCACTAAAAGTTATACGCCGACATCGTGCGCACGAAAAGTCTACTTCGATACACCCACAACCTCAGGAGTGTAAGCTAAAGATGCTGCAGCATCCAGTCGAGCCTGACAAGTGAAGCCAAGTAAAGGTTGTGTCTTCAATGCTCGATCAATTGAGGCGTCTTCGACGGGGTTCTTTCGTCCATCAAAGTATGCCTTACGCTTGAGCTCTGGACTGTGGTCGAGATGGTCTGGCCCGAGTATCTCGCCAACCCATACGACCAACTAACATGAGTACGCTTAGTCATCCCGGTTAACCAGCTTCTGGGCTTCTGAAGCTCAAAATTTTACTTTTTCTGTAAATAATTTCGAGCGACCGTACTCTTTGTTCTTTGGAGTGCACGTAATAATCACCAATTTAAATTAACGCCCTTTTTGACCTGCAACGGCAAGTTACTGCCTCTATTTGTCTTTTCGGTCCTTTTCCGATTTCTGATACGGTCGTAACTCAATCACAACAGCTCACGGCATTTTCCTCCATCAAGCTGCTGGGCAAATGTTTTGTGGTCCACCCCGGATGTTTGCTATTCGGCATCCTGCGCCACTTTCAGCTCAACTGGCAGTCTTTGGGCTCAACTAACATTTATGGAGCCACAGACATGACCTTCGTATTCCCTGTGTGTATGTATCTCGTTTGGAGAAGTTTAGCTTAACACTACTTGTTTTATTTGCTGTGAATCGTAAATCTCGTATATTTGTACGAAATGTACCTCGGCATTGGTGCGAGTCTGGATAAGAAATGGATAATAAATTACAAAACTCATATACTTGGTCTTTTATTACGTATAACACTATCCACGCTCTGCGACAACCACACACTCTGTGTAATAGTTTGTGCTGCATCTTCGAAACTGCAGCACAAGCTTAACTGCTGTGACTTTCACTGAAAATCATACTCGCGCTTCGCGTACTCGATCGCTCCTTTGACCATATTAATGGCACGAACACGATCTTGACGCAGTACACTGAAAGAAATAAGACCTATTAGCTGACCCTTCCTGTCCACAGCAGCACCACCGCTGAATCCATTGTCTAGCTGGGCAGCTGTGCGAAGCATCGCCTTGTCAACCTCCTCGCCCTCATAAACTTGAGAATCAGTGCCGGAACAGATTGCATGGTGTACTGTAATGGTGTTGTGGCCACTACTAGGATACCCAAACATCCACATCTCGTCGCCAGGCTCGATATTGTTTGAATTGCCAATACGCACTGCCGGCAGTTTTCCAATCGTATCTCGAGAGGTTCCCTGGAGCTTTGTGACAGTCCAATTCCGCGCAATTATGCGGTCTGTCACATCGCCAATGTATAAACCACTAGGTGGGTCCGATATAACCTCGCAATCTAAGCGAAGCAAAGCGTAGTCCAAGTCTTCGTTACAGCACTCGGGGATCACACGCGCATGATATTTCCACAACGGCGGTAAAGAGGTTGATTCTGTTGGAGCAACCAGTATCATATTATCGTCCCTGTTAATACAGTCAAACTGCTCTCCCTGCAGGCAGTGACGTGCCGTAGCAATTAAACCATTTTCGTGAATGACGATTCCAGAACCAACATTGCACAACTCGCCCTCGTTCGTCAAAATCGCAATGCGAACAGCGGATTGTTGCACACGGCGCACGAGTCCAGCACGAAAATGTTTCATCTCAGCACGTTTCTGTTTAAAACGAGCTACAGGTGTAATAGGCATCGATTCCACTGACGGACGCTCATCATCATCGGCTTCATTAAAATCAGCTAGACACGCAGCTGCATTCAGCAATTTCATGCGGGGTCCAAACGGGATACCAAGATCACGCAGATGGCCAGCATTCATCAGGCATAGAGACTCGATGTCAATTTCCTCGGCCTCAAAGAGTGCTGCATACTTGCTGAGTTTAAGCGACGCAAGCAAACTGGACATGACTAAAAAACTTTTCTTTTTCTCTGCAGCCTTACGAGTCGACCACCGAATTGCAAACTTATTGTACCACGACAAATTTTCAAAGCCAATGCCATGAACTTCACGTTGGAAAGCTACTAGGGACTCGCGCTGAGGACTGCTTTCGTCATCCCCAAACTCCTTGACGTACAGCGGACGCCATGTTATGTCCAGTAATGCTCTCTTATACCAGAATCGACATGTCATGGAGGCAAGACAAAGATCTACGTGGTTCAAGTAGCTCAGCATATGCGTGAAGACACCGCGCGGCACCCAGGCCTTTGAGTGCACAAAAGCATTCATAGGAGGCTTGCTACCAGACAACACTTTTGGAAAACATGCCTCACAAAGTCTAGATTTGTGTGTGTGGCCAGTCAGTGCTGCCTTGAACCTGGAGCATTTTGCACAGAAAAGGTAGCCGCAGCGTCGACAGCGATGGGAGCGTCGTAGGATTGAAAACTTCTCGTGACATAGGTAGCATGAGTTGGAGACATGCTGTGGTGCCCATCGATCTCCTACGACGGTAGATGAGGCTGCCGACGACAAGGTCGAGTAGGCAGAGGACACCGAAGAAACCGACGAGAAGCGAGACGCACGACTGATCTCATCAAAGCCTGGGGAAACGCACGCTTGGCTTAGATCCATCTGCCTGGAGCGTTCTGTGACCGGTATACGGCTGCTTAAATTGCTGCTGAAGTTGCTGACTATTTGTGCAACCTGCCGAGAACGTACTGAAAGGTTTAAACTGCGGGTGTAGACAGAGCTAGAGCGCGCTGAGAGTGTACAGTGGCGCTTATCCTCGTTCATCAGAGTTCAAATGCTGTAGCTTCCAAACGTAGCAATGTCGATCCTTTCGGGTCGCAGAAGCTGGTGCTGGTAAACACCGTGCTGGTTGCCTGGTTACTTCGACAGTCTCTCCCTCTTCACTTTTTTGTGACTGAATAGAAGAGCGGGTTAAAATCGTCTTTTGACCAATAGACATACCGCAAATCGAAACAAAATCGCTCTGACTATCGGTGCGAAAAGGAGGGACGCGCTGTAAAGAGTCTTTCTGCAATGCCTGCCTCATGCTGAATTGATCTTCGCATATGGGCTGGGCTCTCTCTGCCGCGATGTTTACTTCCTTTCACTAAATCTAGTGCAGCATGGTAACGAGGGTTGCATATAAGTGTTAATCGGATCTAAGAGGTGATAGATTCTCTGCTGTCTGACTGGTAGAATATATATATATAAATATATAATGGGTTTTTGCAAAATGTGATACAAATAGAAAATATTCGCGAGATGTAATACAATCGTGTTATAAACACTAAAATACGAAACACCGAGTGTAGCAGTGTAGCCATTCTTGGTTCACCGTTACATTGAACGTGTGTGCCATGGCCTCGTACCAAGAAAATCTCGGGACAATAGTGATCTCTGATGACGATTTGCTTACAGCTGACCCTAGTATCTCCCCAGCAGCGTATGTTCGACAAGCAGGTCGTCCAAGGAAACGACACATCAGATCCCATGGTGACGTTGGCGATAAGGCAAGGAAGCCATGCAAGTGCACCATCTGTGGGGTACTCGGCCACAACAGGGCAACATGCCGCTTAGCAGCTTAGGTAAACAATCGATCAGCATATATTTATCGCGAACATACGCTGCTGGGGAGATACTATGGTCAGCTGTAAGCAATCGTCCTTAGGGATCTCTAGTGTCCCGAGATTTTCTTAGTACGAGGCCATGGCACACACGTTCAATGTAACGGTGAACCAAGAATGCACACTCGGTAATTTTACTAGGTCTCGTATTTTTAGTGTTTAAAACATAGTGACCTTCCCCGTATTTTTCATAACAATGGTGTTTAAGACACAATTGTATCACATCTCGCGAATATTTTCTATTTGTATCACATTTTGCGATGAACCCATACATTATTATATATGAGGTACTCAAACATTATCGCAAGATTTCTACTTTGTATGCCACATTTTCGCTCTACTTATTTTATCCAATCATCATGCGATAGGAACGCTAGTCGGATTCGATACTTCCGACACAAAATATAAATCCTGATTTATGTTTTGCGCATATCAGTTATATTGCTCGTCTAACTGATTCATTAGTAAAAACAACATTAAGTTCTTGTGAAAGTGTGTACTACCTCATACAATAAACCTAAAATTTACCAAAGCAAGGTTTGTGGGGCACGTCATGTGCAGCGGGGCTGTCGTAGCTTTGTGCTTTGAGGAAGCGTAAATTAGGCCACCGGCCTCTCGTTCTATACTAACAACAAGTACGAGTTTAGCGGATCGCAATCCGCTAGCTCAACGAGTAATTACAACCTTAACCCAAGGCTAATTAACTGTTCCATTGAAATCCAAAACAAACTTTATTTATTTTTATCTGCGGCAAAGCCGCCTAAGTTTAAATGTTTAGAATTTCCTACATATGTATAGCAAAATCTAAATACATGTACAACTACTGGCTATCCAGCCCCGTACCGTATTCTTATTTGGGTGTGGTCACACCATGCCCATCTGGTGTGACACACACCCCTGTTACCAGGGTATGTGTAACCCCGTTACACTCTCCCCCCATTTAGAATGAGAACATTTACAGCTCCAATTGATTATTGCCTCAACGAGCATGTGTGTCTGTTAGACACTGCGTTGGAACGAAACGACTTCCGTGCTCAATGAGCCCTTTGTTAATGACACCGAAGCTCCAACTCTCGCTGGTTCCGACAGTGCTCCCGGGCAGAGTCCAACTTCGTCTTCGACAACGCGGTGCCATGTCGGACTGTGTATCCGAGGCATCGAGGGATGTATATCTTGAACTCAATGAGCCCGAGCGTCGCGCTCCGCGCATGCTATCAGTGACGAGTGACCTCGTTGGGGATGTGAGGTGGTTGACTACGAGTCTGACACTCCTTGTCCCGGGTGGAATGACGAGGAAGGCGGGCCGCACCAGCGGTGTGAGACGAGCCCTGCTCGCGCCTTGCGGGCCCCAAGTCCGTTTCCTGACCTCTCATCACCTAAGGGGCGTGGTGTCATCACCAATGACCTCGATGAGAAGCGGCAGCTTAAAGCTACCCGTAAGGCGGCTCTGATGCGCGCCCATCCACGGCCGGTCATTGACCCTCGTATGGAATATGGCTTCCGCCCGTCGGATCCCGCTGTGGAAGCGAAGGACGTGGTAAATCGATCGTTACGTGCTCACATCATCGGGCCCCCGGCCAGAACGGAAGATGAGCTTGCCAAACGGAAAGATCTTCGAGCTCGTTTCTTGGTTGCACAAGAGTTTCCGTTGGAAGCTTATCACACTCGTCTACGTGCTCAACGAGGTGGATCTCGTGTACCCGCAATGCGGACATTAACTGTAGTGCTCGCCCTTGGCGAAAGCACTACAGATGACGAAGCGCTCTTTGAGCGATGGGTACAACGGCACTGAAATTTTTTCTCACAGCATAACCTGCAGTTGAGCCACAAGGAAGTAGACGTGCGTGTGGAGCGACACCTCCGCTTTGAGACTCAAGGCACGCCGTCGACTTCCTTCGGATTGTCGCCCTGCGACGTATGGGTCAACCACTAATGCTCCCGCGAGCTTTGTGTCTTCGACTGCAAGAGCTCAGGGTCACTGCTTGAGATCTGCATATGGGTAGTCTACTTCCCTGGCTATTGCCGAGAAGCGCGGGGTGTCTGATGATGCGGGGTGTCCTGATCTTTCCGATCAAAATCGTCCACGGCGACTGGACCATCTTGCCGAAGTGACGCCTCAAACTCCCAGGTGTTTTCGGAGTCGGGATATCTCCGCCACTTCACCAGATATTGGGTTTGACCCTGTTGACGACGTCGTCGTACTAGACGTTCCATGTGATAGTAGACGTCACCGTTTTCATCGAGATGAGTCGGTGTCGGACAGTGACGACCGGGTCGATCGCCGTCCGGTGACTCGCGATGCTCTTCGAGCCCTTGAGGACGAGGCCCTTCGTGATCAGAGCTCCGATGAGCGTCATGCTACAGTAGCATATCGCTGTGCGGACGCTCTTGAGGATTTGAAACAAGTTATGCGCCGGCTGCCTCACCTTGAGAACTACCGCGCTCTGTCGGTGCGACTCCTAGCCGTGGAGCAGACGAATGCGTCGCTGCATGTGACGGTGGAGCGCTTGGCGCCATTAGAAATGGAGGTTGTTGCACTCTGTGCTCAGAACCAGTTGCTGGTTCAGCGTATACGCTAGGCCCCGCTTGGCCACAACCTTAAACGGTACAATAAACCGTGGACGAAGCGTCGTCCAAAAGATAGCAAAGGCTGCATGTGTAGGCAGGTTTTTAGAGTTGAATAAAACCAGGTCTCCGACCTTAAAGCTTTCCACTTTGCCTCTTCCTTTTTCATATGCTTATTGTTTCTGCAGGTCTTGGCTTTCAGCCATTGCATCGCGAACGTGCCGTTGGACACTCAGTCTGGTAGACAAGAAGTCATCGACTTCTTTGCGGATAGTGAGGGGCTGACATCAGCAAGCCGTTCGGCTATTCCTCCCTCACCAAGCCCTGAGCCATGGGATGGCGGCGTCAGCAGGACAAGAGGGTGAACTAT